CTAACAAAACACGCAGTCTGTCTTCAGTAAGTGACCAGTGCAAAGGCTCACTCACTACCTGGTAATGTGCTACTAATGCCGAAGGGTGCGCTACACGGGTTCACAGCCATTCAGAATGTAATCTATAGCCTATTCGCTATTCCTGGTCTGTAACAAGAGTGGTTTAAACAAAACCAAGTGATCTGAGTCATCTTATGGAATTGACAAAACTATAAAACAGACCCGAGCCTTATAGGCTAATCTGTGAAAATGCATTTTACCAATGTGATATGAAGTTTACAGTGGGGAAAAAAAGTATTTAGTCAGCCACCAATTGTGCAAGTTCTCCCACTTAAAAAGATGAGAGAGGCCTGTAATTTTCATCATAGGTACACGTCAACTATGACAGACAAAATGAGCATTTTTTTCCAGAAAATCACATTGTAGGATTTTTAATGAATTTATTTGCAAATTATGGTGGAAAATAAGTATTTTGTCAATAACAAAAGTTTCTCAATACTTTGTTATATACCCTTTGTTGGCAATGACACAGGTCAAAGGTTTTCTGTAAGTCTTCACAAGGTTTTCACACACTGTTGCTGGTATTTTGGCCCATTCCTCCATGCAGATCTCCTCTAGAGCAGTGATGTTTTGGGGCTGTCGCTGGGCAACACAGACTTTCAACTCCCTCCAAAGATTTTACCTTTACATTTACATTTTAGTCATTTAGCAGACGCTCTTATCCAGAGCGACTTACAGGAGCAATTAGGGTTAAGTGCCTTGCTCAAGGGCACATTAACGTCATTTAGCAGACGCTCTTAGCCAGAGCGACTCACAAATTGGTGCGTTCACCCTATAGCCAGTGGGATAACCACTTTACAATTTGGGGGGGGGGGGGGGGGGGGGGGGGGGGGTTAGAAGGAATACTTTATCCTATCCCAGGTATTCCTTAAAGAGGTGGGGTTTCAAATGTCTCCGGAAGGTGGTGAGTGACTCCGCTGTCCTGGCGTCGTGAGGGAGCTTGTTCCACCATTGGGGTGCCAGAGCAGCGAACAGTTTTGACTGGGCTGAGCGGGAGCTATGCTTCCGCAGAGGAAGGGGAGCCAGCAGGCCAGAGGTGGATGAACGCAATGCCCTCGTTTGGGTGTAGGGACTGATCAGAGCCTGAAGGTACAGAGGTGCCGTTCCCCTCACTGCTCCATAGGCAAGCACCATGGTCTTGTAGCGGATGCGAGCTTCAACTGGAAGCCAGTGGAGTGTGCGGAGGAGGGGGGTGACGTGAGAGAACTTGGGAAGGTTGAACACCAGACGGGCTGCGGCATTCTGGATGAGTTGTAGGGGTTTAATGGCACAGGCAGGGAGGCCAGCCAACAGCGAGTTGCAGTAGTCCAGACGGGAGATGACAAGTGCCTGGACCAGGACCTGCGCCGCTTCCTGTGTAAGGCAGGGTCGCACTCTCCGAATGTTGTAGAGCATGAACCTGCAGGAGCGGGTCACCGCCTTGATGTTGGCGGAGAACGACAGGGTGTTGTCCAGGGTCACGCCTAGGCTCTTCGCACTCTGGGAGGAGGACACAGCGGAGTTGTCAACCGTGATGGCGAGATCATGGAACGGGCAGTCCTTCCCCGGGAGGAAGAGCAGCTCCGTCTTGCCAGGGTTCAGCTTGAGGTGGTGATCCGTCATCCATACTGATATGTCTGCCAGACATGCAGAGATGCGATTCGCCACCTGGTTATCAGAAGGGGGAAAGGAGAAGATTAGTTGTGTATCGTCAGCGTAGCAATGATAGGAAAGGCCATGTGAGGATATGACAGAGCCAAGTGACTTGGTGTATAGGGAGAAAAGGAGAGGGCCTAGAACCGAGCCCTGGGGGACACCAGTGGTGAGAGCACGTGGTGCGGAGACAGCTTCCCGCCACGCCACTTGGTAGGAGCGACCGGTCAGGTAGGACGCAATCCAGGAGTGAGCCGCGCCGGAGATGCCCAGCTCGGAGAGGGTGGAGAGGAGGATCTGATGGTTCACAGTATCAAAGGCAGCAGACAGGTCTAGAAGGACAAGAGCAGAGGAGAGAGAGTTAGCTTTAGCAGTGCGGAGAGTCTCCGTGACACAGAGAAGAGCAGTCTCAGTTGAATGACCAGTCCTGAAACCTGATTGGTTTGGATCAAGAAGGTCATTCTGAGAGAGATAGCAAGAGAGTTGGCTAAAGACGGCACGCTCAATAGTTTTGGAAAGAAAAGAAAGAAGGGATACTGGTCTGTAGTTGTTGACATCAGTGGGGTCGAGTGTTGGTTTTTTGAGAAGGGGAGCAACTCTCGCTCTCTTGAAGACGGAAGGGACATGGCCAGCGGTCAAGGATGAGTTGATCAGCGAGGTGAGGTAGGGGAGAAGGTCACCGGAGATGGTCTGGAGAAGGGAGGAGGGGATGGGGTCAAGCGGGCAGGTTGTTGGGCGGCCTGCAGTCACAAGTCGCAGGATTTTATCTGGAGAGAGAGGGGAGAAAGAAGTCAAAGCATAGGGTAGAGCAGTGTGAGCAGGACCAGCAGTGTCATTAGACTTAACAAACGAGGATCGGATGTCGTCAACCTTCTTTTCAAAGTGGTTGACAAAGTCATCCACAGAGAGAGAGGAGGGGGGGGGGGGGGGGGGGGGGGGAGGATTCAGGAGGGAGGAAAATGTGGCAAAGAGCTTCCTAGGGTTAGAGGCAGATGCTTGGAATTTAGAGTGGTTTTCTATGGGGTTTTCTATGGGGTTGAGATCTGGAGACTGGCTAGGCCACTCCAGGACCTTGAAATGCTTCTTACGAAGCCACTCCTTCGTTGCCCGGGTAGTGTGTTTGGGATCATTGTCATGCTGAAAGACCCAGCCACGTTTCATCTTCAATGCCCTTGCTGATGGAAGGAGGTTTTCACTCAAAATCTCACGATACATGGCCCCATTCATTCTTTCCTTTACACGGATTAGTCGTCCTGGTCCCTTTGCAGAAAAACAGCCCCAAAGCATGATGTTTCCACCCCCATGCTTCACAGTAGGTATGGTGTTCTTTGGATGCAACTCAGCATTCTTTGTCCTCCAAACACGACGAGTTGAGTTTTTACCAAAAAGTTATATTTTGGTTTTATCTGACCATATGACATTCTCCCAATCCTCTTCTGGATCATCCAAATGCACTCTAGCAAACTTCAGACGGGCCTGGACATGTACTGGCTTAAGCAGGGGGACACGTCTGGCACTGCAGGATTTGAGTCCCTGGCGGCGTAGTGTGTTACTGATGGTAGGCTTTGTTACTTTGGTCCCAGCTCTCTGCGGGTCATTCAATAGGTCCCCCTGTGTGGTTCTGGGATTTTTGCTCACTGTTCTTGTGATCATTTTGACCCCACGGGGTGAGATCTTGCGTGGAGCCCCAGATCGAGGGAGATTATCAGTGGTCTTGTATGTCTTCCATTTCCTAATAATTGCTCCCACAGTTGATTTCTTCAAACCAAGCTGCTTACCTATTGCAGATTCAGTCTTCCCAGCCTGGTGCAGGTCTACAATTTTGTTTCTGGTGTCCTTTGACAGCTCTTTGGTCTTGGCCATAGTGGAGTTTGGAGTGTGACTATTTGAGATTGTGGACAGGTGTCTTTTATACTGATAACAAGTTCAAACAGGTGCCATTAATACAGGTAACGAGTGGAGGACAGAGGAGCCTCTTAAAGAAGAAGTTACAGGTCTGTGAGAGCCAGAAATCTTGCTTGTTTGTAGGTGACCAAATACTTATTTTCCACCATAATTTGCAAATAAATTCATTAAAAATCCTACAATGTGATTTTCTGGAAAAAAAATTCTCAATTTGTCTGTCATAGTTGACGTGTACCTATGATGAAAATTACAGGCCTCTCTCATCTTTTTAAGTGGGAGAACTTGCACAATTGGTGGCTGACTAAATACTTTTTTTCCCCACTGTATATAGTTGTGTCCAGAATGAGAAAGGCTTAAATTGTATTTAGAGTAACAGCCATGACATGGTGGAGAGGGGCCGTGGCCCAGCTTTTTACAGATTTTCTTTAAACATCACACCATGGTAAAACTTTTGTTTCTGGACTTGTCAACCCAAGGAGTCTCCCATATGAACACTTGCTCATTTCACACACTACACTCACAGGACCTTGGAACAATCTGAAAACCCTCTCTGTAAGGGCAATTTGTCCCTTGGTGCATCCACATGAGTTATATCTCTCCCTGTGAACAGGGTCACTCGTGTTTATCTTTTCATGATCTCTCCCCCCTGTCAGGACCACTCTGTTATTCTAGGAAGTAAAGCAGCAGCAGGGTTGTCATTATGGGAACATGTATGTTTGGATATAAGCACAGGGGATGTCATTTAGTCAAAGGACAACTTAAGTTTCAATGCACCACTGTAGTGTTTCAGGTTACCATGGTAAATTGCTCATACAGCTCCATATCTTGAGTTTAAGTAAATTATTCCATTCTTTATTGTGCATATTTTGACAGTACCGCTAGTATGAGATTAACTATTGCCCAGATACTCAATTGAGTATCTGAGTACAAAAATTGGTTAATCTACAAAGTTAATCTACACCGACTGTAACACGGTCTAACAGCTCAAGCGTCATTGCAAGTCTTTTTTCAAAAACGAAACATCGCTTTGAACTTCTTACAAAACCCAGAACCAGCCTTATTACCAATCCCTCTCAAAAGCATTTCCCTAATGACAAACCAACTCAAAATGAGAAGACAATCCACAGATCAAAAGTCATCGTTTTAAAAACAGCATAGCATGTTATGTAGTCTAACACAATGTAGTTATTGACACGTTGAATCATGTAAAGAACTGCCGATGGTGAAAACAAACATCTTTATTCTTAAAATCGGACATTGAACAAAGCAACTGAATAGGTCTAAATCATGATGGAAGATTGCATCACATAGCTAATAATAACAGCATGATGGCAAAAATAAAACAAGTTCTCTATAACAAATCTGAAAGCAAAAGGGTATAAAAAAAGATCACGCTGGTTCCATTATGTGGCATGCTGAGCCAGGAAGGCTCTTATCCTCTGCAGCAGCTCCTTCTTCACGCTGTCAGGCACCAGAACTGAGGGGGAAATAAATATACAGTATCCGGTTCAGGTTATGATAGTAGTGTTATGATCAACTTTACGGAAGTTATTAAACAAAGGGACGAGAAAAAAGGTACTGTATACACAACAATGAAAAGCACAAGGCCTAAATACCTCTTCCTTTAGGGGTGATTTCTACCACAAGGTCCTCGACAGTCACATGCTCCAAGCCCTTTTCCTTGATGACATCTGGAAAACAGTTACATGACAGGCATGATGGTTACACCGCTGGATGCATTGGCACTAATAGAATACGTGTTTTACAGTGTCAGAGGCGTCATGCCCAAAGGGTGCCCCCTCAGATTTGTCCTGTTTAAAAAATAATAAAACAATTAATTTTGTTTAAAATGTTGTTGTTCTCTGTAATACTACTAGCCACCTAGCAATTTATATAGTTTGCTTTACTAGCCCAGATAGATTCCTAATCTCATAACTAGCTACCAAGAAGCCATTTCAGGCTATCAATGAAGTTAGAGTAGCTAGCTTGTCTAACTATCTTAGATGGCATGCCTGCTGGCAAGGTTGGTAGACTTTAGAAAAGCAAGCAACTACAAAATGTACTGAATAAGACTCCGATTCCTTTCACCCAGAATTTAGCAGAGAAGCATATTCAGTTAATTAAAAACACCAGTCAGGAGGATACAGACAGCTCAAGATGTGCAGAAAAATATCAATATCCTTTTTTTTTTTTTTTACATAGAATAAAGCATAATGATTATGGCTGTAGATTTCTGGAAAAAGGTGTTTCAGGTGTTTGAAAAATGCGAAATGTTCCCAATTTACGGGCAGCTACCTCCGACCACCACCTTAGTCATCCTCACGTACTTTGGGCCCCGTTAGATTTTTGGGGTGCATGACGCCCCTGAGTGTCATACTCATCATTTCTATTACCGACTTTTCATGACATCCCCACCACACATGATAGTAACTCTTACCTTTGCAATGAGCTTTCAGCTGATCCCTCCATCCGCATTCAGTGAGTTTAGCTCTGAGCAACTCCTTCAATCTGTGGATCAACCAAAATAAGCAAGAACAGTGACCATAGATTGATGGGTCTTCTAATAATGATTAACTAGACATTTGAAAAATGTTCTTACCGCTCTCGTTCACCCATCTCAGTTAACTTCTGATTAATTGTTGCTCTCATCTTGGAATCTTTGCTCATATTCTTTTAGCTGAAAAAGTGAGACTCAGAATGAGTATATGTTGTGGTGTTAGCTAGCTAGCTATCATTAGTCAACTGCTGAGGCAGGGATCAGTTGAATAGTTAGCTACATACTGTAACAGTCTACAAACAAGGTGGACAGCTGTCTAGCATTAAAAATGTTAGGTTTGGGCTGTAGCTAAATCACTCCTCTTTAGAACAAGCCACGAGTAGCATGAATCATGCTTTGCTTGCTTGCTATGCTAACTGTTGACAAGCTAACGTATTTCTGACGTTAGCCAGGCAAACAAGCTAGCTCACTATCTGATAATTGGTGATAATAAGACACATAGCTATCAAGGTCGTAACATTCTCACACTTACCCAAAACTTTCGATGAAATGTGCATGCTGTTTCACACAGTGCCAATAAAAGTGGCGAGCTAGTTAGCCACAGCTAATTGTTGTGTCCCACAATTAATAAGGACCCCAGGAAACCGTTGATACAGAAAAGTTCCTACCTTTTAATGAAGTACTATCGTTATGCCACTAGGTGGTAGCGTTGATCAACAACACAGATTATAACAGACTCAACTGTTGCAGGTTGATAACGTTACATTGATGAGATCAGAGGATTTTTATGTTCTTATAATGCCCTTTATTGTAAATGTGACCATGAAGTGCTGTTTTTGGCAAGCATTAGATGGTTGATCAATCCGAATAATATTCGGTAAGAAGAATAACACTGAGTCTGGGTTAAGACTATTTTCTAAATCAAGAAACTCCATAGTTGAATGCACTGATCGTCAGTTTGGATAATACATACTGCTAAATGAAGAAAAAAAAGTAAAAATACTAATATTATGACAGTTTAGACCTCAGCTGTTCTGTTTCTTTGTAGTGCAGTCAAATATACTGTATTTCAGTTTCCAATCTCTGGTGTTGCACCACTTTTAATATGGTGTTGGAAATATTACTTTATTTTGTGACATTTTTATTCTGACAATGTCTATGCCCTACCTGGAAAATCTTAAGAATTGTATGAAAAACAATTAGCTAAAGAAATCACATATTGTAACGATGTTAAACCAAAACCTAGGGACCTTGTCAAGAAATTCAGACCTTTTGGCGTAATTTGGCGTAATGGTTAAGGTGTTGATTTGACAGTCGCTGTGCCAGGGTTCAAGTCCCGGTCGGTGCTACCCCTCGAATTCGCTACACTGATGTCAGAAGTATGTATTAACTGAAGACGATGTGGGCGATGAAACTACGGAAAACCAATACTTTCCAATGGAAGAAGCAAAGTGGGCAGGAAGACCATTGGCGATGCAAAAGCACAGGCGAGGGACATGAACAGGGCGGGACCAAAGTTGGGGAAAGGTGAACTTCATATGCAAATACTCCGTGACATCGTGGTGATATTGACCAATCGAAGAACACTATAGCTTCCAGCTCCTACTGGATTGGCTGTTGATACCTAGCATGCTAACCAATACCCACACGAGGGCGAGGTGGAATACAAGTGCTAGTTAAAAGAGCCGGTTAAGGTGTCGGCTTGACAGTCGCTAGACCCGTATTCGAGTCCGGTCGGGGCTACCATAGCAAACAAATGGCCTAAGTCTCACTGCTCGGCTTTTCAAAACCTCATTGCTTCTTTTTATTATTTTATTATTTTTTAATAAATTGGCTAGAGATCCAGATCCAGATCTCTACATATGGCAGTTCAATTCGGATCTTTTGCCCAATTATTGTCAAAAGATATGATGTGATTGGTCAAAATACCAATAATTGGGCAAAATATCAGAATTGGGCTGCCTGTGTAAACGCAGCCCATGTGTCTGAAACTCATTTTCAAATGAGTCAAAGAAAATCCACTATCATGTTTGATCCTCCTTTAAACCAACCCTAGGATACCATTTCAAAACTGCAGCATATTCAGCCTGGTTGACTTTGTTTTCTAGTCACATACTGTATTACTTCAACTTGTTTGCAAAACAATGTTATCCTATCCCTCTCTCCTAAGACACTTGGCAAGGTCTCCTAATTCCTTTTGGGGAAACTTCTGCCAACCATCGGCCACCTGAGGTTACTGAAAAATGTTCTCTTTTCAGAAGTATTTTGATTAATTCTCTGTGCATAACCCCTCACATCTCAGTCTAATACATGGGAAAAGGGCATGGATTAGAAGTGGATTTAGCTGTTAACTTAAGATGTCGAGAAAGACAATGAGCCAAAACTATAGATACTTTATCACATCCTTTCTAGATCACATAGGCCTACTGTATATACTTTGTGTGGTGTTTAGAGAAAGAAGCCATTTAAGAAACGAGAGTTTACCTCATAAGTCATGAATGGTTTAAGAAGAGTTTTGTGTTAAATGCAGCTTGAAAAACATGCAATGTCTGATAAAATATGTTTGACACTACCGGAGTATTTAAATGAGAAGAAATTATCAGAGGATAAATTAACCTCAAACTGAAATTTGAGAGTTGATTTAAATTGACCAGTTGAAGGTTTCTTCCTGGGTTGAGGTAAAAACATGCCTTTCTTCAGTCTAGTGGTCACTGGAATATCATAACACTGACTACCTGACTGCATAATTAATTAAGTCTGGGCTTTTGGTTAAAACCTCTCTTTAAAGTAAAGGAACCCCTTACTGCAGTTTAATGAAACACTTTCCTGACTTCTGGAATCCATGAAGAACTTGAATTGCCTCTGTTTTATTGACTTTAAAGCACCCAAACCCCAGCAGACCTCTGACTAAATTAACAAGGAGCAAAGAGATTCCCACTGAAGGCACACCTGACAGAAATGCTGCTACAAAGTTGAAAGAGTGATTGATGGGTTATCTGGTCTGGATGAACTAATGACCTCTCATGTCAGCAGCTCTATAGTACCGAAGCAGAGCACTTGTTCATCTTGAATTAATCACCTGCACTTAAACCTGACATTTTGTCAGTCAGTCTTCTTAAGTCGTCAACAAAACAACAAATTCACCAATGCAAAGTAAATTGCAAATAATTGTTAATTTGTGTGTTTTGACAAGGGGCTGTTTGATTAATGTACATGCTTGATATAATTAAAACGATAATTAACACTCAATCTTTATCATGAGTGGTTTTGAAATGCCAATGTTTACACTGGCAAAGACCGTTACTTCTTCGGCTCAGCTGCACTTGGTCTGTGAGGTGCCTGCTACTGTGCATTGTGCCACAGTGGAGATCAGTGAGAATGCTGAATGAATGGGAGGCTACAGGCTAAGTGATAGACTCAATGCAGTGAAGTGACAGAATAATCTTCCTCCCTGGCCCTTTGAGGCAAACCGTATCTCTGTTCCCTGCTCATCACCCTCCAACATTACCCCAGTGTAATCTCTGCGGCGGAAGCAATTCTTTTACCACAAAGTTTAGGTGAGAATAATATATAGTGGGAAAGAAAGCAGTGATAAAGTGAATTAAATAATCATCAAGGCACTTATAGGGTTCAAGGGGATAGGCAGAAGTTCTCTCAGTGGATGCTCGCCCAAGAGAAACCCTCAAAACAGAAAGAGCTCAAAAGTAAGTAGCTTTTTGTGTTCCTCCTAAAATGCTGCAGACCCTGATTTAGAACAGAGGACAGTTGCAGCTACTGATGTGCTAAATAGCAGCTATACTATTCATGCATATGGAATGATTTGCAATGGTTTGAAGTGAACCAAAGCCATATGCTTTTGTGTTATTGTCAATGCGGCACATATACATATGCAAAAGGAAATGGAGGGCTTGAAGCCACCTGCAACAGTACACTATTATTCTGTCTACTGATTACCCGCTGCCTCATCATCTAATGAATAATTCATAATTAACGAGCACAACTAATCTGAACTATTGTTGCACTTAAAAAATGACTATTGTTACCGGTTATAAAATATTTCCCAATCAGAATATGTAACCTTTGGGTAGTAATTACATTCCTATGATATACAATCATTTGAAAATAAAATGTGCTTGCAATAGAATATGTTTTGGAGGTGGGGAGCAGGTGTTGGAAAATACCGGAGTGTGGCTATGACTTTTATATTTATTAGAGTCACTCATTCGGCTGTAGAGTAATTTCATTGGTGAGAAATCTACTTTATCACATTTTAGTGGTTAGCAAAGCAGATAATAGCCTAAATGTCATGTGGCAGGTACTTTGTTTTTGTTCATCAGCTTGAGTAGATTGAAACAAGGTTTCTCATTTATGGTGTGCAAAACTTGGTTCACAATAAACTTGGAAAACCAGTATGGATGTTTGGAGTAAAATTATGTTATTTTTGAAAGGATGAAAACCATGCATAGAGAGCTTTTATTTCTGTGGTGATCATTTAGCACTGAGGTCCTATAAACTTAACTTGCAGACCAAGCAGGGCAGCAGCTGCAGACCCAATTATGTACAATGCTCTAAAAACCTGCAAATTGTTCCCTCGCAAACCCCTCTCTCTCTCTCTCTCTCTCTCTCTCTCTCTCTCTCTCTCTCTCTCTCTCTCTCACCACACTCTCTCTCACCACACTCTCTCTCTCTCTCCCTCCCTCTCTCTCTCTCTCGCTTTCGCTCTCTCTCTCTCTCTCTCTCTCTCTCTCTCTTCCCCTCGCTCGCTCTCTCTCTATCAAAAATGCATGCATCACACACACACACACAAAGACACTCACACTAAGACATTTCAGATGCTTTTCATGTTAGTCTCCCTCTTGCCTGGGCCCTTAGTGACACCAAGAAATATATCTCTCCCTCGGCACCTGACCTCCCAACACCATCCCTCAGCATCCTAAAGTGCATTGAGTCTCTCACCCCCTCCTCCACAGATGGATAAAAAAAACACTGCTAGCCCAGCACATGCCCACTTTACAGTAAAATCATAGGAATACAAAAACAGCGTCTATTAGCTGAAGGCCCATGGGATAATGTGACATGTTGGGTGAAATTAAGTTGTGTTGAATCTATAATGATGAACAACAGTGTGGGTCAAGGGTCGATAACATATCACAGAGTAAATCTACTTGAC